CGTGGGCGAACGTGCCCGACCTAACTCGGGAGCTGCCCTTCCCCCCGGGGGCTTCCGGCCACCCTCGCGAGCCCGCTCTGCCCTTGGCGGCCGCGGGGGCCCCGCCAGGGCACCCACAGACGAGCACAGAGCCTGGCCAAGAGCCGCCCGCGGGGCAGACGCGGCTCTCCAAGGGGCCTGGGCTTAGTGGGCACTGGAAACGTCAAGGCCGTTTTTTTACCGGTTCCGTTTTGCCGTTTTTGTTGCCGGTTCCGACGCCGTTTTTTTACCGGTTCCGTCGCCGTTGTTTGACCGGTTCCGGCTCCAACTCCGATCCTGGAGCCGTTTTTTCGCCGTTTCCGGTCGCCGTTTTTGTTGCCTTTTCCATTTTCAATGGACATCTTCTGGGAAACGGTGAAAAAACGGCCCTGCCGTTTCCGAGGCCCACAAAGGGCCTGGGGAGCAGGGGCCTGGTTGACCCCGAAGGGCGTCCAGCTGAAAGGGTGTGGTGCGATAGGTTCGGGGCAATTGTATTGCAGATGTCTTGCGCCAGAGAACCGGATGGCATGTGTATTGCAGCCAACGCATTGCACGCGAAAGCCCAGCAATACATTTGCGCCGCGGAGTGTATTGCACGCCCCAAATCGATGTCAACCCACGGGATCTATTGCACCATCCCCCTTGTTGTCGCTGGACCCCCTCTTGAGTCAACCAGAAGGGGGTCACAGTCCACCCGTACATTTAGCAAGAATGGGCGAGATGGGGATGCAAGGACCTCGGATAGCCATGTCGACGCTCTGCGAGCGGGGCGCGGCCAGCGAAAGCGGCCGAGGATGGGCCGAAGGTAGAAGGAGAAAACACGGCATAAACAAAAACTTCTGGCGCTCCGCGCGGGCTTCTTGGATCCGCGCTGGACCCCCCTCCCTGGCGCGCGGAGCGCGCCAGGAGCGGCGCTGGAGGCGCCGCCAGGGGGCCCCAGGCGCCGATCCAAGGACCCGCGCGGAGCGCCGAAAAGTTTATGGGCATGGCATTGGTTCTCCTCCGCAGGATGCAGGGGTGACCTCGGGGACTTGCTCCAACGTTCGGGCAACTTGCGCCAACCTCGGGTGACCTCGGGGACTTGCTCCAACCTCGGGTGACCTCGGGGATTTGCTCCTTCGCAGGATGCAAAGGGTGACCTCGGGGACCTGCTCGTCCCTTCACTGTGCAGGCTGCCTGTCTGCTCCCAAGTTCGGCCGTGGGCCGCCTGCGACACCTCGGCCTCTCCGGCGGCCTCTCCGGCGGCCTCTCCGGCCTCTCCGGAGGCACTCGGCGGGGCAGAGCGCAGGCCGGTCCACAGGGGAACCTTCCACGAGAAGCCCACCCCTGAGGCCCCAGGACGTCCATCGATGTCCTCCTCCTCGCCCTCCTCGTCCTCCTCCTCCTCGTCCTCCTCCTCCTCTTCCTCCTCCTCCTCCTCCTCCTCGTCCTCCTCCTCCTCCTCCTCCTCCTTCCCGTCGTCCTCGGAGCGTGGCCGGCTGGCCAGGGCCGCGCCGCGCCGCGCAGCCCCGTCGGCCCCGACGCGTGGGCGCGCGGCGTGCCGCCGGCGCACGGTCCATCGAGGACGATTTTCGACTACTCAGACATCGTCCCCATACTATGTCTGACTTTGCTCGAACAGTCCTCCTGTAGAGGGATATGCCCGACGGAAGTATAGCGCGGAGCGCTCGATAACTGCCGGCCGATGAACCTCTCGATACGCCCGCGCTTTGGCCACTGCCGCGTAGACGCTACAGTGGAGGCCAGTCCACACGAAACCTTCCACAAGAAACCAAACCCTGAGACCCCGGGACGTCCATCGATGTTTGGTGTGGGAGCGTCGCGCCGTCCATCGCAAAGCCATCGAACCCCAAGAAACCCAGGGCACCCCGGAGGCAAGCAGGGTGTTTCTTGGCATGGGTCTCCACTGCACATGCTTGGCCCTCTCTGGTGCGAGAGCTGACGCGCTTGCGGCACGGCTCCGGCTCCGACTCCACACTGGGCTCCAGGGGACGTCAACTGATTGACCAAAAAAAAGGACCCCTAACCCTTGGGTGGGGACCTAAGTTAGGAGGGCCAGAAACATTATGGATAGGCGGTCTTTTCTGCAGGTGCATCGAACCAAACCGCCCATATCCCTAATGCACAGACGGGGACCTCGGTGAGGCCACCTCTTCATCGTGTTATTAGGGTTTAGCTCCTGGGAGGAGGGAGGATGAGGGAGGGAGGGAGGGAGGGAGGGAGGGAAGGAGGGAGGGAGGAGAAGGAGGAGGAGGAGTAGGAGGAGGAGGAGCGAGGAGGAGGAGGGGGAGGAGGAGGGAGGAGGGAGGAGGAGGGAGGTCCTCTGTTCTCGGTGAGCCCTGGGCTCCATGGGGACGTCAGCGGAGCACCTCTCGCCGATCCTGGCCGTGCCTGTCCTGGGCAGAAAATCGGTCCGCATCGGCTCGGCGAACCGGATCGCATCGGAGCGTGCATCAGCCTCGGCCAAAACTGTCCTGAGAACATTTCGTGCAGACCACACAAAGGTTCTTACAACATTCTTTGGTGGGCCTATATTAGGAGGCGACTACTGAGAGGTCTTCGTCCAAAAGGTTTAAGATAATGAAACCCCATTGGGGGGCTCTTACGCCGGAGTGGGCCTCGGATCCAGCGGGACTAAGCTGAATTAGGCGGGATCAAGCGATTGCATCCGAATGCATCCGCACGGAATCGAACACGAATCGGACCTGCTGCGCGGATGCACCACGGCGCCACGCAGGCATCGGGCCGCATCGCATCGTCGGGACATCGGCGCCGACTCGGCTCGGGCCGGCCGGAAACGGAGATCGAACGGGATCGATCGGGCCGACATGGACCCTGGGCCTAGGTCGGGCATGTCCTCCTACAGGCGGATTTGCAACGAAAAACAAAAAATCAAAAAATGCTCATCAAAAGTAGCCAACAAATACTCAAAGGATCGTCCCCACGCCATTTGTTTTGAGCATTCCTCCTGTAGAGGGACGTGCCCGACCTAACGCTGGGCCCAGGGGGGTCGGTGTGTATGCCCTCCCGGCTTGGCCAGAGTGAGGGGGCCCTGGGGCACACCAATAACTAGACACATATCACTGGATTCCCCATATTTCCCCATCTGTTCTGGGTTTGCGTCTCCCCCCCCCCTCCCCCGCACTTCCTAAAAATTCCCGTATTTTCTGGGGAACCGACGATGAATTGTGTCTGTGTGTTGTTGTTCCTCCTGAGTGTATGCCCTCTCCCGGCTTGGCCAGAGAGGCAGCTGCACCGATCCCGGGCCCTGGGTGGGCCTCCGCTAGGGTCGGCGAGCCGGGCAGCCCGGGTGGCGCCGTTCAGGCCCTGCCCACGCCGACGAGCGCCTCTCCTGCATCGATCGGGGGCTCCTCCTCCTCCTCCTCCTCCTCCTCCTCCCCTCCTCCTCCCTCCTCCCTCCTCCTCCTCCTCCTCCTCCTCCTCCTCCTCCTCTGGGGGGGGCGAGGGCAGCGCTCCGATCTCGCCGCGTGTTCGACGAGCTGCGAACCCGACCCCCGCCGCCCATCGAATGGCCCGAAGCCTGGATCGGCGAGGGCGGGGCTCGGATTTCGGCGCCGACAGCCAGCGTTAGGTCGGGCATGTCCTCCTACAGGCGGTTGTTGGACGAAGCGAATGTTTTGGTTCCTATCTATATATATACACGGAGGTGAGGGGTGAGATCGAAGTGGAACGGAGAGCCCCCCTACCGGGAAATCGATTTCGGTTTCGTGTTCGTGCGTGCCGTGCGTGCGGGCGAGGCGAAGCTGCGTGGGCGGGCGAGAAGAAAATCTCCTGTGGCTGAGGCGCGGCCGGACCAAATGTCTCCCTTCCGGGCGGCCGGTGGCCCGCGGTGTCCCGCCGGTGTCCCGCTGGTGTCCCGTGTGGCTGAAGCGCGGCCGGACCAAATGTCTCCCTTCCGGGCGGCCGGTGGCCGCGGTGTCCCGCCGGTGTCCCGCGGTGTCCCGCGGTGTCCCGCGGTGCCCCGCGGTGTCCCGCCGGTGTCCCGCGGTCCGCGATGATGATGATGATGATTGATGATGATGATGATGATGATGATGATGATGATGATGATGATGATGATGATTGATGATGATAGATGATGATGGAATGGATGATGATGATGATGGTGGTGATGCTGATGATGATGATGTGATGATGATGATGATGTTGATGTATGAGAGATGATGATGCTGCTGCTGATGATGATGCTGTTGATGTTGATGCTGATGCTGATGCTGATGATGATGCAGATGATGATGCTGTGATGATGATGCTGATGATGATGGCGACGATGATGATGATGATGATGATGATGATGATGATGATGATGATGATGATGATGATGATGATGATGATGATGATGATGATGATGATGATGATGATCGAGTGGGATCGAGTGTGAGATAGATCGAGTGAGATCGAGTGAGATCCATTGTGAGATCGATTGTGAGATCGATCGAGGGAGATCATCGGCGAGACCGATTACTGAAGATCGATAGTTGAGCTCCGATCAGTGAGGCCGATCGAGGAGACGTTGGTTCTTCCCCCCCCCCCGAACCTCCTTATCACCCGAAGGGTGGTCGTATAGGTATGTATATATGTTATATAAAAAGTAAGAAAAAACAAAACAAAACAAAAAAAAACGATTCAAGCATGATCAAGGATGATAAAAAGAAATCGTCCCCAGACTATCTCTTGACTATGTTGAATACTCCTCCCCTGGAGGGACACGCCCGACTGAAAGCTGGCGTCCCCCGACCGAAGGGGCCAACGGACGAACGCCTGGAGGGCGGGGCTGGGCAGCCGAGCAACAGGCGAAGCGCAGCAGAGGGCGCGCCTGCGAGGAGGAGGGAAGCCCTGGCCAGACCAGGGAGGACGGGGCGCTCCAGGCTCCTCCTCCTCCTCCTCCTCCTCCGCCTCCTCCTCCTCCTCCTCCTCCTCCCCCTCCTCCTCCTCCTCCGCCTCCTCCTCCTCCGTAGCCATTTTTGGCTCAAGGCGGGGTGGCTCCCTGCTGGCAGCGGCGCGCCTCTTCGCGGGGGCTCTCTCCTCTCGGCCCGCCCTTTCGTTCTGCGATGGCGGTGGCTCCGGGACGGCTCAGCGGCGGCGACATGGTCAAGCTCCTAGCGGAGCTTCCGGTGGCGCAGGCCGTTTTCGGCGCGGCCCTGGCGTGCGCGGGGGCAGGATGCGCTGCCAAGACGGCCGGCAGCCTCGTCGCGGCTGCCGCTCGCGGTGCCTTGCAAGGCGCGCAGGTGGCTGGCGGCTCCGACGGCGACGCAGAGCTGGCGGTCGGCGCCCTCGACGGCATGCAGGCCATCCTGGCCGACGTGGGCGTGAAGGGAGTCTCGGAAGCCAAGGCGTGCCTTCGCGATGCAGGCCGCGCGGACCTCGCAAGCCGCCTGGCGAGGTTCTCCAAGGTCCGTAACGGCGTCGCTCACCGTGACGTCCGCCTCGCTGGCGACATCGGCGCGGCGGTCAAGGCGAAGGCCAACGGCGGCGGCGAGCTGGTCACGGGGGCCGAGCCGAAGCAGGACATCGGCATCGTGCAGCTCGACGGCGAGACGGTCAAGCTCCGCGCCACGGTCGCAAGGCTCGAGTCCGAGCTGGCGGCCGCGCGCGTGGACCTGGCGCAGCAGAAGAAGCAGGCTAAGGAACACAATATCATGTCCTCGGAGGCGGTCGGCGGCGACTCGGCCGAGGGCGTCGCACAGCTGCACACGTACATGCGGGTCCCGTTCGTGGAGGGCCTGAGCTACCCGAAGGAGGAGACGGGGGTGCGCGCTCAGTGCCTCGCGGCCCTCCTCGCGCACGGCAGCGCCGGCCTCCCCCCGGAGCAGTGCGAACGCATCGCTTGCCAGCCCGACTTCGACAACGTCAAGCGCTACCTCGCGAGCTGGTCGTGATGAGTGCTGCCCGAGGCGGGCCGTCGGCGCTCTAGTGGCTCTGGCTGGTTCCGCCTCGAAATTTTTGGTCGGCGCCCCCCCGCGGCGTGTTTTGCGGGGGTGGCGCCTCGGGCTGGGGCTCCCGCGGGTGCGCGTTCCCGTGTCCCCTTCCTGGGGGCCTCTGGGGGCCGTTTGTTTGCCCGTTCGTCCCCGCGGGGGTGGCTTCCGTTCCCCTGGCCTGCCTTTGCGGTAGGCCAGGGTCGCGACGGATGCCTGTTTGGGCTTGTTCGGGGCCCCCCTCGTCGCCACGTCCGGCTGCGCCGCGCTCGCGGCGGCGAGAGACTCACCGAGCGAGGAACTTCTGGCGGCCCTGGCCGTCGTCTCCGCTAGCGTTGACGGCGGCCAGGGCTGCCTTTGAAGCTGCGCCCACCCATCCTCCTCCTCCTCCTCCTCCTCCCCTCCTCCCCCTCCTCCTCCTCCTACTCCTCCTCCGCCTCCTCCTACTACTAATCAACCCGCATCAATCCTAATATAATACGCCTTCCTCCTCTCTCCTCCTTCACCACTCATCATCATCCTACTCACCCCTCCTCCTCCTACTCCTCATACTAATACCTAATCCACATATCGACACCTCCCCTCATAAGCAGCTATACACATACCCCGACTACTAATGCCTCACTACATAAGTAAAACACGTCGGCGGCTCCCAGGGGGCGCCGGACGCTGCCGCGCCTCCCAGGTGCTCCGAGGGTTCTAGGCCTCCCCGATGGGGTCGGAGCAGATGGGGTCGGTGGATCGCGACGCATCGCCGAGGCGGCTCGATGCGAAGCCCGATTCTCCCCACGCCAAGGTCGCCGGTGCATCCCCAGGGATCCGGCGCTCCAACTCTGATCGGAGCGGCGGGCTTTGGGCTGTTTTCGGCCCAGCGGGCCTTTGCCGGGCTTCAGGACAGTCCAGAAACGACACAGGACGAAAACCTGGCCCCTGGAGAAGGGGTCCGGACCTCCAGGGCCCACGCATCGAAAGAATTGGAGCGGCCAGACGTCTGGGCCTCTCCCTCGCCTCTCTGCACGAATTTATTCTTCCTCCTCTCTGCGCAAAGTTGCGGCCACGTCCATAGGAAAGCCGTTCGGCCAGATGCCTAGATACTGGCCTTCGGCAGGAGTGTTAGCAGAATGAAGCGCATCTGGAGTATGGCCAATGTTGTTTTCTTGTCGTTATGTTCATGGACGCACCTTTGGCCCCCCCTCGTCCGCGCACGTACGCCGGGCCATGGTGCGCCAAACTCATTATGCCTGTCCCCCTTCTTGGGCGCCGCAGCCGACCGCGACGCCGACGAAAAGCAGCGACAGCCTCTGCGACGACGACCCTGACCTCCTCGCGTCGCGAAATAGCTACGACGGAAATCTTTTGAAAGTTTTTGGCCTCCGCATGCCTTGGCCAGGCCCCAGAAACGTCAAAAATCAACTCAGGCTGAAACGCCGAACTTTGGGGGGGGCTACGTTATGAACCAATCACGCTGTCGGATGCTGCGGCGACGACGATTGCGACGCCGTAAATTGTTGCTCGCTGTGAACCAGAAGAAGTCCCGAGGAGAAACAGGGCCTGGCCGTTTGTCGCCGCTGGCGAGCTCCTGGGGGCCCTCTGGGGGCCCCAGGACCGTCAAACAACAAGGCGGGATGACGAGTTGGCCCCAGGGGGACCAGGATATAGGCCTCCTAGAGGGGGTCCGAGTAGATGGGATCGGAGGATCGCGCCGCATCGTCGATCCATCGGCGATGCGGCTCGATGTGGCGCCCGATTTCCTCCACGATGATGGCGCCGATGCCTCGCCGACGGCCGACGTCGCATGTGCATCGCCGATGCATCGCCGATGCATCGCCGTTGCGGCGCGGTCCTCGGACCCCATCTGCTCGGACCCCATCTAGGAGGCCCCTACAGGACCCGTTTCGCGCAGGACCCACGCGTTTCATGCTACATTGCGAAGTCTTTAGTGCTCGGGGGCGCTCGTCGCAGCGGCCAGGCGCAGCTCGGACGATCTGCCGGGATGCTCCCCCGGGCAGGGGTCCAGGGGCTCACTCTGACATGGCTTCGGTTCGACAACGACGAGTGCAGCCACGACGTTGGCAGCGGCGGCAGTGGCCCCGGCGATGGCCACAACGGCGGCAATGTTGGAGGCGGCGACCAGCGCGTCGTCGCCACCATCGTCGCTGCGGTCCTCGTGGAAATGGTGGTCGGGGTCCGTAGTCGTCGTCGGAACGAAGGAGAAGAGGAGGATGAGGAGGAGGAGGAGGAAGAGGAGGAGGAGGGGGAGGGGAGGAGGAGGAGGAGGAGGAGGAGGAGGAAGAGGAAGAGGAAGAGGAAGAGGAAAACGAAGACGAATAAAAAGAAGGAGAAGGAGAAGGACAAGGATTCGCTGAATGATAAGAAGAAACATAATAATACGAATACTCTTCTTACGAAGAAGACGAAAATAGTAAACATGATAAGACTACGAATGCGAGTGAAAGAGTACTACGAATACTCATCATATTAAGAATAAGCATAAGCATAAGCAGACAATAAGAATATGCATCTTGATAAGACGACTGTGGAACGAATACTAAGAATAGTATGAAGAAGACGAATAAGCATATATAATGATAATAAGAAGAATAAGACTCATCGTGATATTCAGATGAAAAATATTCAGCATCAGAGAAAGGATAATACTAATAAGGTTACGAAAAAATACTAATACGAATACTAATCCGAAGACGAAGAAGAGGAGGAGGAGGAGGAGGGAGGAGGAGGAGGAGGAGGAGGAGGAGGAGGAGGAGGAAAGGCCGAATGTCGCTGCCGCCCCGGCGCCGCGCTCACCTCTCTCCGGAGAGCGGAGCTCCCGCTCGGGCGCGGCGCACACACGTCGCACGCAGCTTCGCCGGCGCGCGAGCAGACGGAACAAATCACGCCCCGCAGAGGGGGAGGGGGAGGAGGAGGAGGATGGAGGAGGAGGAGGAGGATGAGGAGGACGAGGAGAGGATTAGGAGGTCGAGGAGGAGGAGGACGGAGGAGGAGGAGGTCGAGGAGGAGGAGAGGAGGAGGAGGAGGATGGAGGGAGGGAGGAGGGAGGAGGGTGGAGGGGGAGGAGGAACGGCCGAAATTTCGCTGCCGCCTCGGCGCCGCGCAGAGTTCGCCCGAAAGCGGCGCTCCCGCCCCGACGAGGCACGCAAAGGCGTCGCCCGCCAGCATTCTGGGGGGGCCCGCGCGAGGGGTCGACGTGTCGCCCTGGCCCGACAGGGAGGGCCCGTGCGCTCCTCCTCCTCCTCCTCCTCCTCCTCCTCCTCCTACATCGACCTCACTACTCATCCTCGACTCTCCGCCTGTTCTCCTCACGACCTCCTCCTCTCTCCCTCCTCCCTCCTCCTCCTACTTCTCCTCGCCCCTCCATCCGCCTACTCCTCCTCCTCCTCCTCCTCCTATCGACCTCCTACTCAGACCTCCTCCTCGACCCTCTACTCCTCCTCCGCCTCCTCCTCCTCCTCCTCCTCCTCCTCCTCCGCCTCGACCTCCTCCTCCTCCTCCTCCTCCTCCTCCTCCGCCTCGAAAGTAGCGTTCCAGCGCGGGCGCGGCGCATGGCTCCTTCGCCGAATCGCATATGACTGCGACAGCGGCAGTGGGGCCGCGCCAGAAGGGGGCGACATGCAGACCTCGCCCAAGCGCCGCGTTTTTCGGACGTGCGGCGCTTTTCGGCGCCGCACGCGCGAAAACAAACTGAAAGAGCGTCGTGTTCTTGGGCCGCGGCCTCGCCCTCCGAAGAGCGCCCGACACGCACAGGGAGCTGCCCGTCGCGGAGGACATGATGGCGCGGCCTCATTTCGGCCCCCGTCTCCGCACGAGGGATCAGCAGTATGGGTGGCTGGATTTGATACTGAGCCCCCGTGCCCCCAGGGTCCTGGGCCTCTGGACCGAGGTCCGCTCCCGGAGGGTCAGGGGCCCCTTCCGCTCGAAGGTATGGATATTGAGACCCCGTGCCCCCAAGGTCTGGGGCCTCCTGACCGAGGTCCGCTGACAGAGGGAGGAGGAGGAGGAGGAGGAGGAGGAGGAGGAGGAGGAGGAGGAGGAGGAGAAAGAGAGGAGGAGGGAAGGAGGAGGAGGCCCCGCGAGGAGGAGGAGGGGAGGAGGAGGGGAGGAGGAGGAGGAGGAGGGAGGAGAGGAGGGGGAGGAGGAGGAGGGGAGGAGGGGGGAGGAGGAGGGAGGAGGAGGATGAGGATCAGAGGAGGGCAGGGGGAGGGAGGAGGAGGAGGAGGAGGAGGAGGAGCCCCTGCCGCTCGCGGAGCCGGCAGTCAGGACCGCGCGGTGCTCGGCAGGGCCTCTCGGGCTTGCGGGCTGCTCCTCGCCCGTGCCGCGGAGCCCGTGCGTGGCCGAGGCTAACGATTGAGTCGGGCCCGTCCTTCTGCAGGAGGGATATTCAAAGATATCAAGGGCAGAAAAAAAAAACGCCCCTACCCTGGTTTACGAGGCGCCGTGCTCTGAAAATCCTGTGGGCTGACAGGGTAAACCCTGCGTGATGTGCCGCGTCCCGGCGACTCGAGGCTTTGGGGGTGCCCAGGAGGTTTACAGACCACGCACTTGTAATCCAGGGTAGGGTAATTTTTTCATCCCTCAAAGATAGGCAAAACAATTAGCCAGGGGATTATTGTTTTTACAGTCAAAAACCTGATGAGGACGCGCGACTCTGCTCCGGGTGCCCTTGCGTCCTGGCTCTTCCTTGCTCTTGCGGCTCGTCCTTGGCCTCTTTCGCTTGCCCGCCTTTCAGGGTACCCTTGGGGTTTTCGTCGTCGGCCGCCCCAGAAATCCCAACTTCGGCTTCCAAGGGTCTTGCGTCCTTGCCGCGCGTCCGTATTAGGGTTTTTGACTGTAGTATTGTTTGAGCATTTGGGGGTATTTGTTGTCTATCTTTCCGAACATCGGCCTGCAGGGGGACAGGCACGACCTAAGCTTACGATGTTCCAACCTACTTTGACCGGGAGCACCAGAGAGAATCTCGAGCGCCAGGGCATTACCGAAATTCGAGGCTTTCCACGTGTCGGGCCCCGGGAGACACTCGTTCGACACTGTTTCGACGCTGTTTCGACACCGTTTCGACACTTTCCCGGGTGCTCGAAGTTTCTCTGGGATGTGGTCCTTACGTGCGATGGGAGCAGCATAGGCCGAGGCACGCCGTGGCCAGAGCAGGCCCTTCGTGCCTTACGATGCGCCCCTGGTGGTAGCACGCTTTCTGTGCCCCCTCGGGTCCACTCGGCGCTGGGGTATCAGACCCCCTCCACTGGGCTTCACTACTGTCAACCCGCATAGTAAGGACGGGCAACCTTCCCAAGGGTACCCTTGCATCCCTGCCTCCTCGGTGCATCCTTGGCCACTTCCACTGGCCGCGCCCCGCTC